CTCTGTTTGGCCAGGTGGGGTCAGCCCCCACCCCCGGGCTGTGCCCGGTGAAAATTAACCCTGTCCTGGCCAAACCCAGGACACCCCACCCCGCTGGCCATCTTCTCCATCGTACCGTATTTAAAACTCATTTATGGAACATTGTATTAATTCATCTTCTAGTCTAGGAACATACAAATCTATTTGGGTTTACATTCTCTCCCTATATTAATATAGTGCTTTTTATACTCTATGAAGTATAATATATATGCTTCCTTGGAAAAAAGTCCTAGAGCATTAGAACAGCGAAGATGAACATATACACCATAGGCTCCTCTGTACTTTCACAAAATGCTTTTGTTTTGGCATGCCAATTAATCTGCAGTTTATTGTATTTCAACCTTCAGAAGGTCACAGGATTTAACTCTTATACCCTTGCCAATGTCAGCTGGCTCATAATAAACATTCATATTTGTTTTACGACCCAGACCAGCTGGTGAGTTTTATATACAGTAAGAATGAGAAATCTGACAAAAACAAGTGATTCATCTTCATAATCTGAGTAGAGGCTGGAACCTTCAGTAGAATCTTAAAACCATTTATTTGTTCAGGTTGCTGGGCTTGCTTTCTTTTTTTTTGCATCCAGTCAATGGTAATGAAATCTTAAACACACTGTACTTTTGGTAAGAGGGATTTACTTGATAATTGGAAAAAGCTTTCCTGGCAGGTAGCTTGCTGGACTTTCTCAGTTTGATTTATGCTCATTTTCTGCCACAACGGCAGAAGGGAGGAGCTACTGATGTGCTCATTTGCTTTAAATCATTTTCACTTTCAGTTGAAATCATTAAGGGTGACCTGAAGTGTAGAAATCATGTACAAAAAAAGGATGTAACTAATTTTGGTGCAATGCTGTCAACAGATTGGTGCAACGCTCTCAGACCTTCAGTTGAATCCATTTACAGCGATAACTGCGGTGTAGTCCTGCTGGTGGCCCGTGGCCCAGATTTGGCCAGGAGGACAAACCCATCCGGCTTGCTGAAAGAAATAGGGCACAGTGTTCATGCAACAAAGGTTGCCTTAACCATCAGGCATCTTCATCTGCACCCAAACAACATCCAGCACAAAGTCAGGGGCTGTTGTTTTCACAGTGGCCAGAAAAAATGAGCAAGGCACATGGCTGCAGACGTTAAAATACTGCTGTAAGTTTATGCCCCATGCTGGATGTCTTAGGGATAGCAAAAACATGTGTATCATTAGCTATCACTGCATACCTCAGTAGAAAAAAAAAGTCTGTACAGCGTTGCCAGCAGTGACAACTTGTGACCTGAAGGGACAGAGGCTTGGAATATGTTGGAGGAGAGGGGACAGAACTGGCGTTTCTACAGTTCCCACAAGTTCAACAAATTGACCCACTTCAGATGCCCCTGTTTGGAGACCTTTTGTGGTTTGTTCTTGTCTAGAAGGCGGAGATAATCTTCCTGCACCCCAGAACCCTTTTTGTAATACAGAAAACCCCTGCCTATCAGCAAATCTGAAAGCTAAGTCACAGCAGACTACACTAGTTGGTTTACACAGTCAGAGGAGCTGTACTGATTTGTACAGGTATGTACCCATAGCGTAACCACTTACGCACAAGCCAAGCGAGAATCCCACAGAAAGTCTGCAAGGAGATAGACGCAGACATGCCCAAACCTTGCCCACGAGCAAGCATGGGTACCAAGGGCAGAGTACCCGCAGGAGCACTGGCTAACTAGCTCTGCTTAGAGGATGCGTTAGCATGGGAAAACACTGCGCCAAGGCAGCCAAGCTTTTTCTGGCATCCAAGTCTACTTACACAAAACTGACCTGGCTATCCCACAAGGCTGTGCCTTCCATCACACAGGCATATGTGACACAGCTGCTATCTAGGAACAAAGGTGCACACAGGGGGCTGGTTTTGTTGTAGTTATTTGCAGACGCTATTAATACCACAGGTTGAGTTTTACCACTCGCTTAGGGCAGGGACGTTGCCTGGGTGCTGCAGGGGCCCTTGTAACGCCAACGATCCCCCTCTACTGCGCTCCATGCAGCCATAACTTAAGCACCCAGACTGTTGTCCTCTACTTCAATAAATAACATCCCAAGCTGTAGGCTGCACTTCTCCAAATGTAAAACCTTCCCCATGCCAACAAGAGATACCATGAAAGCTGAAGAACCTTAAAAGCTGAATCACATGCCAGGGAGGTGAAGTGACTTTGCCGTGACAAAACGTACATCCACTGTGAGAAGGTTATTCAGCATCCTGCAGTTCAGAATAACTTGCTTTCAAGTTCTGTAAGTCAAATTCACTGACAGCATCAGGCATCGATTCAAAACAAAAAATATGAACTGAAATGGTAGAGAATGAATAATCGCTTGCGTTCTTTTCCAATTCAGCCTATACATGGTAAGGATTTTGCTTAAAGATTTGTTCTTTACTGCACCTTCTGGGACATTCTGAATTATGGCACAATAGAAAAATCAATTAAAATGACTACTGAATAGTTCTTTATCTGCCACCAAATCATCTTCCTCCAGAAGAGATAATATTTCTACAGTGCATTATACATGAATTAGCCCTGCTGCTCTAAATAGATTAGATTTGAGATCCTTTAGCCTGCAGCTTCAGAAGAAGGGTGAGCCAGCAAACCATGGGGTTTATATAAGCACAAACTTATAAATATGTAGCATTACTATAAAATCTAATCTTTAAGAGTTTCCCCCTCCCCCCGTGATTTCTGATCTTTATTAGAAATGACACGAACCAACATTTCTTTTCTGTTGGTTACCCCCCTCTGCATACAGAGGTGTACACTGCTTATCGCGCAGTTCTCAGTCATCCTGCATTCAAAAGCTCTCCCTGGAAGAACAGTAGTGTCTGTGGACGAATAGACAACAATAGATCAAATTTTTAAAGCACAGGGAAATTACTGCACACTTGAATTTCTGGGAAGCTCAGATAGAGTTTCACAGTTGATGGTTGCCTTTTATTTCTCACTTGACCACAGAGATACCACTGCTCTGATAATTGGGCTCCCGGTGTGCCGAAATGATCGCTTAGGCACTGAAGATCAAAGCTGATTGCTTCCTTATTTGCTCTCTCTCATACATCTACTTTCTCTTTTCTTGTTCTTTGACTGCAAGTGCTCTGATATCTTTTAATTCGTTTCTTTATACAATGTTTACCATACTAGGTTTATAGTCCATAACTGACTTCTAAGGACTCCCACAGTAGCTCAGATAAAAACAAAACGAAACAAAACAGAAACAAAAACTTTGGAGCTCTCAGAATGCTTGAATCCTGACCAAAACTTTGAGAATTACACATGCATGGAAGAAGTATGCTTAGTTTATCATCTGACTTTGTCTCTAAACCATACTATGACAACATTTTATAGTCACTTCCCAGAGCTAAACTTTAAAAGAGTTTTCTTCCCATTTTAATGATTTATTTTTTTTATATACATTAGTGTTGTCTCATTTTAATTCTCAGAAAAACCAAAGTACCTTCAAAGTCTCCATCTCTGGCTTTTGCTGCAAGTTCTGAGGAGGATATACTTTCTTGACACAAAGCACAGTCTTCCAGTGCTGCATTCCTTAAACCCTGATTAACTGTAAAACAAACCAAAAAGTACTGAAATTCTTATTTTTACAATTTGCACTTACAATATTCGTGTTAGAACTTCTGAGATTAGATTACAGTAGCATTTATATGTACATCTTCTACTTCTTGCATTTTCTTTACCATGACACAAACAATGTTTTTAAAATTGCCTTTATTCTTTGGAATGACAACAGAAGTGAAAGATGCTGTTATTACAGGACAAAGTCCTCTTACTTCTAGCAGTTTAGCTGCATCCTATATTTTATTTCCCAGTTCTTAATTTGTGTCCTTTACAAAGAAGCAGATTACAAGAACAACCAGAGATTCCCTAGGTGAATCACATCAAATCAAACACAAAGAGAAACTTCACCTTGAAAGTCCCAGGCTTTTATTCACTCGTTTTGTTTACACTTACTGTTATCAATAGCTTTTCTTTTTTTAAATGTAATAGTTCATCCATTAGAAATTATTCCAACTAAGTACTGTTGACTAATATATTTCCTAGTGATAATTCTTTACAGCTCCAGTTTCTTATTACTCTTATTTGAATGTTCAGGAGCTGTTTGATCCTCTCTTCAACTCGGCCTAACCCCATCTTTCATTGCCAATGAAATAACCAGTCTGTCTTCACACCAGGACATTCAGCCACCACAAACATGTTGCGGAAGTTTCAACCACAAGTAATAGAGGACTGTAATGCCTGTTGTGCATTATCCCACTGCAAAGTTGGGTTGGATTGGAGGTTTTTCTGCTAAACTTAACCAAGATTTAACTTAGTGCTTCATACAAAATCCTCAGTGCTTTTAAATGAAACCAGGAGAAAGGGAGAGTTTTCAATCATGTGGAAAGCGAGGGAAAAAAAAGAGAGCTTTTATAACTTTCAGATGCTGATAGTTCTAATCATAACAAAGGACAAAGGTAATTGAAATCTTGCTGGGATGATATGGTTATTTTTAGGTAAGTTAGCAGACTTGCCTCTTTGAAAAAGAGATAATCAAAATGGTGACAAAACATTACTTGCATTGGCTCATGATCTAGTTCTGGTTCCATTATCTTAACTACCTAGAACTATAAAGTGCATATTTTTTTATTTTGAAGCCAAATTCAGCATTCAGCAATTTCTACAAGACAGGCCAGATTTCAGCTTCTTACTGAGCATTCTCATCTTATAGTCTGCTCTCTTTACATAGCTATTTAAACTTCAGAATCAGAGACACATCCTGGTAAAGATGTGCCCTGTGTGAAACAATACCAGGGAAAAAAATAAGTCTACGAAGCCCAGACCCTGCATTCATTATGTTATGCCTATATGGGCCACAAACACTGTTCTGTTATACACAGGAATATGGAAACAAGCAGACACACTCTAAAGGCCTTGACTCTTTTGATATTTGCCTTAAGACGTACTCCTCTGTACCTATACTTCCAGTGACTTCAACCTGTTTACAGTCTGTTTCCATGACTTTTTTTAGTCTTAGGTCAAATCACTGTACAGTGAGCCCTATCAAGAAGTTAAGAAAACATTAAGGAAGCCGTTGTTAAATAGTTCATGGATCCCCATGGGGCTACCGGCAGAAATTCACTATAGAAAACAAATGTTTAAATCTCTTTACCTTTCTTTTGCTTTTCCTTGTCTTCTGTTTCAGGTTTGGTTGCCATAACTTCAAACAAGGTCTTTAAGATACTTCTCAGATCACTAGCATAGTTTGTCTGCAGCTGGTCAGCAACACCTAGGAGTTTGAGAAACAGGTAAACCATAACTAGACTATTACACTACCAAAAAAAGTTTTAAAATTTGTCTGTTGCTAACCAGTAACCACCTCATATTTTTTTTTGAGGGGATCACTTGCTTGTGTGAATGAAAATTGAACATTTAATTAAACTAATTTTCCATAATGGCCAAGTTACATTCTGGCCTTTATGCTACCTGTAGTTTGATACTTATCTTCCTTGTCCTTTGGGAGAAAACACCGAGCAATTCCTTTTGCATCAAAATACAACTGCTGCATCTATCTTCTTCCCCTGAAGACAGGGGGCATCACCAAGAAAACGGAAGCACTTTTAAGCCAAAGCTGTTGCATTCCCACTCTTCATCGCTACAGGTCTAAGATGTCTGCATCTCTGATTCCGCAGGCTGGTCTCCATCAGGTAGCAGGTCTCTCTAGTCTAGTCTGCAACTACGGCCCCAAAACACGGTCTTCCTGCAACTCTGTCTCCAGTCTGTTCTACCATAACTTTATCTGCACCAAAATGGATGAATAGTTTTTACATTCAGAACAAAAAGATACTCTCATACCTGAGATACAGACAAAAAGGCGGTGAATAAGATCATTGCTGCCATGAAATCTCGATCTGATCTTTTCTCGGGTGGCAATTTTAGCAGCCTGCAAAGCAAGCTGGATTTCTTCCTGATCAATGTCATCAGATGAACAAGAACTCGTCATTAAGCTACTGTTGGAGACAAAAAAATTTAAAGAAAAATAATGTAAATCTTCATTCAGTTGTTCAGGATGTTCAGCAAATCCTAAAGGATTTATGACTCAGGCAAGACTACAGCAAACCAGAACTAACTGCTGTAAATTCTTGTTGAAGTTAATCAACACACAATCAATCACCATCATGTTTGATTTTCACTCTGTAGTACAGCTGAAGAAAAATTTTAAGCAGGAAATAATTTGTCTGCATTTTATTGCATTTTCCTTAGCTATTACAAACTGCAGTGCCATTTTTCACATTAACAACTTATAAAAGTTAGACCAAAAATCCAAAGGGGGAATATCAACCTAAAAATGAGAAGGTCAGTTCTGAAGTCAACTTAAAAATGAATTAAGGTGGAAGTTAATTCGAAAAGAAAGAATTTCTGAATTATGTTACCTTAAAATAGTGAGAATAGAATCTAAATATAACCTTACATAAAAAATGGAAAGAAGGGTGATAAAATATAATTTACACAGTAGAGAGGTAGATTAGTCTCCTTATATATCTAACTGTAGAAAATGCTGAAATGTCAAATCATTGTAACAGGATGGCTCATGAACTCCAAAGAGATAGAAGTGTGTCATCAAATATCTACTAAAGATTTAAATTTTCTTTTAAATACCAGATGCACAGTTGCCAGCCATTTCCACCCTCACCCCCTCTTTATGGAGAGGAAGCTTGAAGCAACCTGAGACGACAGGGAAGCTTTGGTGGGAATCCAGCTTCTTCAAATATCAGGAATTACCTAAACCATTTGTAAATCAAGATGTATTTTTTAAAAAACGAAGTACTTGGGGAAAAAGTAGCACTTCAATGGAAAAACCCTTAACTGGGAGTAGATCGCAGGATGTAATTACACTGAAGTCCTATGGATTCACTGTGTTGACCAAAGGAGACATGCATTCCTACTCTGCTATCTTCAGAGACAGCAGAACACTAAACCTTTTTCCCCACATATTGGAAAGAAATTAATCTCAACCCATGCTTACAAAAAAATATGGAATATTTTACTGAGAATTCTACTTTGGTTGTCCAAAACTCCAGAACTCCCTACTACGCAGACAACTACTATGTTAAAAAAGGAAAATTACTGACTGAAATATAGCATGCATAATGAAGGAAGTAGTTTCTAACACATTCCGAGTTCAATCTGCTTTTATTGAGTGCTGAAACATTCCCCACGTTGCAGATCCCATCCCTATGGCAGTATGCATGAACAGTCATTGCAGGATAAGACACATAGGTAACATTTATAATTATTTATAACAAAATTTTATGGGATATAGTTTAGAAATTCTACCTGTAGTCTATACAGGTAATATTTTCAAATGTAAAAATGAATTTATTAGGCCATACAATCTTAAAAGCCCTAGCAAAGACAGAATTGAAAATAAATAAATAGCGGAGAGTAGTTATTGATAGAAATATCAATGGAAAATGTGTACCACAAGTACCTTAACTGGCTTCCCATTCTTTCAAAGACAGAGTAAAAAGCAGGCTTGCAAGAGACTCATTTTGTTCATGTTATCTATTGCTCTTAATGAAAGCAAGTTCTTGTAAAAAGATGTTAGTTTTGTGTTTACAGCTCCCTCAGCACCACAGCTGGCTAGGTTTATTAAAGATACTGAGAACTGAGTGAGAATTCTCTCTCTCAATTTCTCCTTTGCTTTTCCATAGGGAATGTAATATATATATAAAATAATAGCAAGCCTGTCAGTGTGGAAAGGTCTGCGTTCAAGACAATGAAAAGGTCATGTAAGAATGTGGCTTATGCAGGAGTAAACTGAAAGGCGGTAAGAGCCAGGAAGCAATCCCCAATTCACAATGGTACGTGGCAAATGATTGCCTATTTGCCGAAATGCTCACATACACAGATAAAGGAGTTTGTCTGCCTTGTAACACGGCCACATAAGGTCTACTCCCCCACCCCACCTCTTGTTTTTAAGAAATTGCTCTTACAGTGATATACACATCTGCACTATAAGCTGCTCTCCAAGGCAAGCATAGACCTCCTGACAGAGACAAATGCAGTCCGTGTGTGTAACTACATAATCCCAACTCAGTGGTCTCTCTGAAACTTCCAGCAAGCCAAAACCTTAGCACAGGGGAAAGCAGGGGTGCTGATGCAAGGATGACTCTTCCCTCCACATCACAGCTGAAGAAGAAATATTTCAAAGTAAGGTGTTAAGTGGGCAGAGAGCTGCGAAGAGTGCTTTTCAAGAATATAAACTACTTACTCTTTTGCTGTTTTGCAGAAAGGCTCATTCCACAATTCTGTCCAAGCTCTGACCAACTCTAATAATAAAGTTTGCCTTCCCAAGTTTCCTCCAACTGGGAGCAATGCAGTTTTACCTCCAAGGAATGTGGTTTCACCTACCTGTGTTCCAGGCTATTCTGTGTAAGATTCAGTGGTGTGTCATTAAGACTGGTTATGTCCCACCACAAGACTGGCTGGAATCTTTTTGTCCTAAAAATCCCCAGCACAGAGTACATACGAATTGCTTCAGCACTGTGGGATGGAACGTCAGCATGCATGCGTACTCCCATTTCTAAAACACTCTCAGATGCACAGTCACGTGTAAAGTACAATATCCATATACAAGAGGTTCAGAAAAGAGGATATTTTGTATTCAGGATTGCTTGAGCCATGGGAAAGAGAAAAGTGAGCGTTCCAGAATTTAAAACTGGACCCAAGAATCACTACAGAGTTAGGAAGAATTACTCTACCTTCACCAACACAACCAAGTCGGATTTAGACAAAAAAGACTCTCAAAGAATGACTAATGACCATCTGTTCTTTACTTTAAAATATATCTCACTGTTAGAGAACGTAGGCAGAACATTAATGTTGTAGAGGCAGTCAGAAAGACTGTATGAACAGAAACATAGCAATTGTTTCAGATAAAAAGCAAGAGAGACAGCTTTTCTTATAACAGTATTCCAAACAGCAGCGATTGCATCTATGCAAATATAAAAGATTCTCTTGATTTTTTAAAACTGATATTATAAAAAATAAACCTGAATTTTGATCTACAGAGTTCAGCTTAATTGTTCTTTAAATTATTCTTTCAACCAAGTTATTTTTTCAGTTCTATAAGGAATACCATTCCTACTTGGCTTATCTAACATGCATAATATGGCTCAGAATTCTCAGTTGATACCAGATGTGTAGGAAGCATTTCATTAACATCAGACTACACTCAGATCTGGAATGCTTCACTGCTGATATCTGCAGAATTAAGTATCACTGCAGAATATAAATAGCCATACTAAGTAGCTAGGGACAAGTCCTCATTTTCTCAACTTCTTGGTTGAAGGGAACCCTGCATTACCCAAGGAATTAGGTTAAGAATAGATAAGAGCAAAATAAGCATGGAATTCCCCTTGTGAAATGTTTATCATATATACAATGCTTATCATGTATTTATTTTTCATATTGTAAAACCATTGCAAAGTTAACATATCTGAAGGCAAACATCAAGAAATAAGACATTATGTAAAAGGTTGATTCCAAATAGTAAACCTGCTTATATGTTATAAAGAAACAGATACCCTCTGGCAGATAAAAATGAATTAGCTTTTTACCTAACTTGGCTAGGAATTTTAAAACTACTCTCCATTTGTCACATTAGAAGATTAGCAAGATCTTCAGCACTTTAAAGATGTATCTCTAGAATAGTTGCCTGGTGTCAAAGCAAACAAAACCGAACAATGCAATTGCACACAATATCATCTTTCACTCGTGGAACCAACCTGCTTTACAGCTTTTAAGTTCCAGAGGATACCCGTGAGCCAGGTCAAGTGGTAGTACCCATACATAATGGAAAACAGGACCGTGGAACTAGAAGATTACGACTGACGCTTTCAGAAGTGGTCGGTTGTTTTAAGTAACCATCTGCGATACCGACAGTCTTATGCTGAATTTGTTGGTCCTTGAAACTCATCCAAAACCAGTAAAACCAACAAAGTCTAAAACTGAACTACCAAAGTAAATTGAAGCAAAGTTGTTCCAAATTTAAATATTTTACAGTTGTGCTCAAAAAATAGCCAGCAGTAGAAACCTGTGACGGCTCACAGGTGTTTCATTCTAAATTTGTCTAGAAGCATTTGGTCCATTAATCCCGAAATCTGCTCTGATATGAATGCAGACTGTATGAGAGTCTCTCAAAGAATTTCTCATTACTTACAAGCAAACCCTCAGAGTATCTGAAGTATGCATTAAATATACAGCATTGGCAGATAAAAAGAAAAGTTCACTGTATCGAATACAATGAATACAAAGAAATCAAATAAATCATCGTGTTTTCAGAAGAATACTGAAAAAGCTAAGAAAGTGGTTTGGTTTTATTTGTTAGTTTTCAGAAATCTTAGATCAAAAGCGGTCACTATTTGCAAAGGAGTAACCCAAACATATCTATTCTACTATAAATGATGCAATTATGTCACCAAATTTAACAGGAAAGTAAGATCACCCTCTAAGTCTGATTTCAGGCAAGCTCTGATTGCAACTAATTCTCAGGCACAGATTTCATAAAATTGTTAGTGGTGCCTTTACACTGAGACAGCTCAAGTTCCAGCAAGACAAACTCATCCCCACAAAGTCTAAAAGCAAAACACTTAAGAAGTTCTAAGAACAATACTACAAGTGTTTACCAGAAAAGTGTTAACACATAATTCATTCACCATCCTTACACCATCTGTGTTCTACAAATGCCTGTGACACCAGCGATTCCTATTCGCTTGCTCGAAATCTCCAACAAACGGCACGTGCGTAGGTATAAGTAGCATGCAACCATCTGCAACAAAAGAGGTAACACTTCCTGCTGTAGTGTGAATTCAAAGCTTGCGAATCCACTTTATAGTGAATTAAAATCCCACCTTATCCTCTGTGTACAACATCAATAACACGCTTTTTACCCAACCTACGATATTTAACTTTTTTCTCTCCTATCTGATTTTTTCCATACTTTAAG